ACCGGCCAACAGGTAAGTCTCCAACCCCGCGGCTGGCCTCACACTGCTTCCATCGATAGGACGAGCAAAATTGAATGAATCTTCCTCTAGAACATCGAAATATACACTGCTACACGTGTGTGTGTGTGTGTGTGTGTGTGTGTGTGTGTGTGTGAGAGAGAGAGAGAGAGAGAGAGAGAGAGAGAGAGAGAGAGAGAGAGAGAGGATATAACATCCAAGTTGGCAACAGGCGAATTTGAGAGAGAGAGAGAGAGAGAGAGAGAGAGAGAGAGAGAGAGAGAGAGAGAGAGAGAGAGAGGATATAACATCCAAGTTGGCAACAGGCGAACTTACGAGAAAGACGGCAGTAAGCACTTCGCTCCAGCAACTCACTCTCAGATACTTCTGTTCTGCTCCCCTTTGCTCGATTTGCTGTAGCCTGCAGAGTTTACTCATTCACAAATTCACAAGTAATGAGAAATCCAGGAGACAAGAGAAGCATGTCCTCCCAGTGAGAGAAAGAGAGAGTAAAGGGTTAAGCAGCCTGCTACCAAGTCCATCATTGCTGCGGATTCGCCATAGCGTGCATTTCAGGTTTAGCAGTTGCTGGAGTTTGCAATTGCAGGTTCTTAAGTTACGCCCTTTTCGCAAGTGGTTGTTTCCGGAGGGAATTGCTCTACGACTCTACGTGCGTGATTTCCTTCACAACTCTCTGACTTCCATTACTCTTGTCTTTCCCACCTTCACATTGGCATGATCTTTTACTAATGCGGAGATAGTAGTCGCTTTTATCCATTTCCGCTAGCACATTATCATTACGAAGTTATGATAATTGTTTTTCTTTTCGTTCTCATTCTTCTGAGGATGACATGGCGACAGATACTGAAACGCTGTGCATCCGCACGTGACAGTTTCCCATCGTACGGCTCTTCGCCACAAATCATCGATCGATAATGGCCACCGCTTCACTCTTACCTACCAGCCCTCCCACCTACCACCACACTTCATCGTTACAACCCGATCGCAATCAGTAGACGAGGAAGGGACAGCTATAATTCGACGACTTCCACGATCCAAACACGCAAACACAAGTCATTCGCATTCGCTGGCACGCGGCATCCGTAAGGACAGCGGTTTAATCAACTTTAATGCCGTGTCGCGTCAGCCATGCTGCAATTGTCAAGCTCAAGTTCTGCAACTATTGAGAATGAAGTTTTGCAATTTCCCATTAAAAAAATGCAAAGAGTAAAAGGCAAGAACATCGTCGAAAAGACAATATGGATATTCAAACACAGGAAGAAGAGATTGTGGCTTGGCTTGCAATCACCCTGCTGATGGTGAAGTGTCGGAAATCTTCGATATGCACAACGAACACGCAGTTGTCTTCGAACTTTTCGTGAAATGGAGCTAACCGCCCAGCGGCTGCCAAGCGCAAATGGGCAACGTCGTCAGCCAACGTCGTCAGCCAACGTCGTCAGCCAAGAGAAGAGAAGAGACATGTAAACGGCATGGGCAGTGAATGACGCGTTTACCCAACGGAACTTGAACTTAGGCCAAAATGCAGTTATGGCGGGTCTTCAGCCGGGACGAACATGCAACGATGGCACTAAACATGTACTCCAGGAGCTGTAATTCATCTACGTGCACAATGACGAAATGGACACGAGATGGAAACCTCAGTCCTTCTGAAGAACTGACCGAAAGTTTGCGGTCACTTTACAAAAAAAAACAAAATTGCTCAAGGAACACTTTGGTGGGTACAATTTGACGATATCCAGCCCGGCGCAGACAGACTGATAGTTGACAGGCTTTCTTTGTTGGTTCTTTTTTTTCTTTTTTTTCTTTTTAGTAGTTGATAGACTCGACATCCGCTACCCAACAAATAAGGTGGCTCAAAATGAATTCTCTTCTCTCCATCCCATAATATTCTCTCACAGACTCGCAACACGTAGGATCCACGACACTGTATCGTAGAAGTCTAGAGAGATGACCCCCCCGTGTTCACAGAGACAAGGAAGGTTAGAGAGCTCTTCTGGTGACTAAATCTACGGACTCAACTCCTCGCCTCTGTGCTTTCGATTTTGGGAGCAAGGATTTTGGGAAAAGATCAAGCAAGCATGTCCGCAGTTTCTGGTCAGAATAAGGAGTGGAAACTTCGACCCAACATGCTGGAGGAAGTAGAGCAGGTGCCAAAGACCAGGTTCACTGCTGATCAGCGGCCATACATGGCGCTTGGGTTTAGGGTTCAAGGTTTAAGGATCATAGTTTAGGGTTCAGGATTTAGCATTCAGGGTTTAGGGTTCAGGATTAAGGGTTTGGGGTTCAGGGTTCAAGGACTAGGGTCTAGGGTTTAGGGTTTAGGGTTTGAGCTTCAGAGTTGAGGGTTCGGCGATCAGGGTCAGGATCAGGTTTAGAGTCGAGTGTTCAGGGCTGCTTTAGGGGTTAAGAGTTTTAGGTTTGGGGCTTAGGGTTCAGGGTTGGTTTAGTGATCAAGGTTTAAGGTTCAGCCTTTAGGGTCCAGGGTTCAGGGTTTAGGGTTCAAAGTTCAAGGGTTAGGGTTTAGGGTTTAGAGTTTAGGGTTTAGGGCTTAGGGTTTAGGGTTTAGGGTTTGAGGTTCAGAGTTGAGGGTTCAGGGATCAGGGTCAGGGTCAGGATTAAGGGTTCAGTGTTCAGGGCTGGTTTAGGGGTTAGAGTTTTAGGTTTGGGGCTTAGGGTTCAGGGTTGGTTTAGTGATCAAGGTTTGAGGTTCAGCCTTTAGGGTCCACTGTCCAGGGTTCTGGGCTCTAGGGTTCATGAAGATTAATTCCACCAAAGCCAGTAAGAATTTGGAATTTTGGAGGTCCTTTTGTACCTTCCAAATTTTGTGGGCCATCTCATGGGCATGGATAGCCAATAGTATATGCCTCCTTTGCATTCATCCAGGGTTAGATTTTCCCTAATAACTCTGCTTGCTCATGTATCTCCTAGAAAAGCACACCGACCGTTTGAATAAGGTACGGCCTCCAATAATGTTCTCCCCCCCGACGGGCAAGAATATATAATGTTATTATAATATTTATATATCCATCAATGGTCGTAAAGCACATAAGCAAACTTCGGTGCAAATCAGAACGGTGCTTTTCTGAGGAGCATTCAAGCGAACTTCACAAACATCGAGGCGTGAGAAAAATAATGGCGAACTATACAGAGGCATTGAAGCGAATACCCTAAACTTATATACAGTCTTCAACCGCAAGTACACAGCCCCAGCCTTGCAGAAAGTTTTTGTCGCCACAAGCAAAACTCGGAGGGGCCGCGCGGCTTGGGGCGCCGTTTAAAAAAAAAAATCAGCGGCCTCCGAAGTGGTGCGGGTTTCGTGCTGACACCCGCGGGCCGATGTGTGGTGTACTGGTGCTTCAAAAGATGCCCAATACCCATGTGGTCAGATGAGCAAAACTCCAATGAATTTCAAGAATGAAGTAGATGCACATTGCACCATCTTCCCCCAGGAACACAATGCACCCTCATTATGACTGTATGGATCCACAACAATAGCTTATATGCATTCACGATGCGGTCCGGGCAAGAGGGTACAAAAACGTACTATGGTGACGATTCCGTCACGGCAGCGTTTAGCACTGCTCTCTTGAACTTACCTGCATGACCTGGCAGTTGTCCAAAGTGCTCTTCCCACCCTGGATAAGGAAGAAGCAGAGTGAAAAGTCCACATGAAGCCAAGGAAGTCACAAGTCACATCCGTCGTTAAAATCGGAACGATGCAGAAAGTCGAAGATGATTAGCATGGCCCCAGTGCAAGGATGACACACACAAGTCGAGAAATTGTCCAAATTCAACCCAAAAAAAAGAGAAAAAAACAAAGTCAACCCTCAAAAGTCAACATGAAGCAAGATGTCAAAGAAACCAAAGTCAACCCTCAAAAGTCAACCCTCAAAAGTCAACCCTCAGCAAATGCCAAAAGGAACCAAAGTGAACCCTGAGCACAGTGCATGAACCAGCAGCTGGAAAGAGAAGACCAAGTCGTCACAGAAGTAAGAAAAGGTGGAAAGCGCCTACATCCGTGTGCTCCGGCAAAAGTTTTGCGCCCGAACACACGCCCAGCCGCCTGACCGGGCGGGACCTCTGAGGGAGGGGCGGGGGGGGGGGGGGGGGGGGGGGGGGGGGGGGGGGGGGGGGGGGGGGGGGGGGAGGGAGGGGGGGGGGGGGGGGGGGGGGGGGGGGTCTACTGCGGGAAATAGAAACGAGTTATAGCCGCCACATGGGATCTAGGGGCTCCTTCCAGTCACAAAACACTTCCGTACACCCTAATCCATATGTGGATTCTGTGCTGGTTTCCCATCCATGCACCCAGGCAAGCATTTTGTGGCCGAAACCATGCCCGGGCTGTCCAACCGCACAGGACCTCCGAGCGGATTCTCCTGTGGAAAATTGAAATGAGCTAGCGGGCACATGGGATGTATGGGCTCCTTACAGTCACAAAAGACTTGTGTGCATCCTTATCACTGACTTTTTGGAGTCTTTTCAACAAAAGACAGCTGCCAAAGACCCTTCATGCCCACAGAATTGACTTTCATCCTTTCAACAAACTCTCCCCTAAGGCCCCTAACAAACTGCCATTGCTTCAGAACTCCATCAAGAAGCCTAGCCGTATAATAATAGAGGGGGCCACACTACAGACAGTAAATGGCTGGGCATCAGCGTGTAATGTACCCGATCGAACTTCAATCCACAACGAATTCGCATGTTCTCATTCACGCATGCAATTGCAGAGCAGACTTGAAGGAGGCAAATCCACACAAAAGCGGGGATAAGATATGCACAGCGGAAGCTCAAAATACACAGGGAATTGAAAAATGAATTTTAATTCTGCAATCCCGCGTCCTCCTCCAATCAATCCAGAATACTTGTTCGAAGAATCACAACCGCGTTTACAACGACCCCCAACAACCAAAAAACGAGTGTTCAACGAAGTATCCAGGAGTCTTCTTCTTCTTCGTCCTCGCCACCTCATACCCCTGGCTATGGCTGCCGTAGCAGCAGTAACCCCACAGCTGTCACAACGTGCCCATCTGAACCAGCAACCCCAAGGAAAACAGCGCCAGCTCAGCGCCCGCACGGAAGTGCAGCGCTGGAAGTCCTGATGACGAAGGAGACAACCGATCCAGCACTTCGAAGAAGATGAAGTTCTTTGTGAGGAGGAACAGCAGATATGGCTGCCAAGTGGAAAATGGCAGCGCCCAAATCCAACAACACAGTCCTGTGGAAGCTCTCATGCAGAGCTGCGAAATAGCCGCAGTGCGATCTTCAACTTCGCTTCCCAACCCCAGCTATGGCCAGGCTTCGAGGAAGAAGATGACCTCGCCCAAAGTAGCGCAACAGCGGTCCAACACCGGGACGGGCAGAGTTTCCCCAGCAACCGAAAACAAAAAAAGACCCCAAACCAAAATTTCCTACCCGCTACTTCTACTCACTGACTAAACCTGGACGAACTCGCAAGACAGCAGCCCCAGGCTCATCTGTTTCTACCCAGAACCTAGGGAAAAGGGGACCCAAATCCCTGGCAAGGCAAAAGGAAAAGGCCGAATGGCCTAAGACTGCCACATAGGGACTACTACCGTCTTCCCCCGAACATAACGCACCCCAAAAATGAATGTATACAAGCTGTATTTCCGGCCAGAGACAGCCAAAATGAGGGTGCGTTGTGTTCGGGGGAAGACGGTAGTGACAGATCTAGGGGTCAAGTCCAACACGTCTCGAAGCTAACAAACAAAGCATACAAATTACAGGCCACGGGATCACGTCCCCCAAGGCCCAAAACAAGGAAACACCAAACACAGTCACACCCAGTCAGTGTACATTCCCACCGGGATACCTCGATTTATTGCAAGGGTATTTAGCAAGCCCACAGCCACACTACAGACAGTAAATGGCTGGGCCATCTACTACAGTCAGTGTAAATGCAAGGCCTACAAGGCTACAACCAAAGAAGCTGGTTTTGGCAAAACGACTCGAAAATTAGAACGGCAGCTGAACAGTAATATCCTGAGCCCCAGGCAGCTCAGGATGTTTCCAGAATGTTTTTCCCTAATTGATCGAAGGACGCTGTGCAAGTGGGGCATTTTGTCCCAGGAGTCGTTTGAACCTAAACCGGGACCGGTGGTCCCAGCACTCTTTCAGGACCAGCAGGTGTTTACAAAAGAAGAAGAAGGAGAAGAAGAAGGAGAAGAAGAAGGAGAAGAAGAAGAAGCAGAAGGAGAAGGAGAAGAAGAAGGAGAAGAAGAAGGAGAAGAAGAAGAAGAAGGAGAAGAAG